CCTAACCCTAACCCTAACCCTAACCCTAACCCTAACCCTAACCCTAACCCTAACCCCTAACCCCTAACCATTTTCATAATTCTGCATTGCTATTAGACTTTGGCATGTGAGGTATCGTTGAACTCAGGGGGAGCCACTGAGTTTAAATAACCAACTCCCAGATCCATAGGACATTGCTATCTGGACTTATAAAATACATGGGAGTCTATGGCAGCCCTATGAAGGGCGTGGCCTAGGTCCACCAAACTTGGTCACAAGGTGTGTCCCCCTGAGGGGTGTATACACACCAAGTTTGGTCCCTATGCCCATCTTATTTCGAGTGCCCATTTATTTCTTATAATGGGAGTCAATGGCAGCTATATGAAGGAAAGGTGCCACATGGACCAAACCTGGCACACATGTGGGCACCTCCCAGGGGGTCCTCTGAGCCAAGTTTCAAGTCCCTACCACTTTTAGTTTTTGAGCTATTTCGAGTGCCCATTTCCATTTTCGGGTTTTTATCCCTTAAGACTGTATAACATGTTATCAGTCACTTGGTCAATTCACCTACACTGCCATCACTATGCACCTTCATATACATTCATTTATTTACTGTACTAGGTATATGTACATTGTTATATATCACGAGTAGTGTTTTTTTCTTTTACTTACCTTTCTTCTATCTCATCCTGTCCTTTTTTGAGCTGCAGTAATGTACAAATTTCCCCACTGTGGGATCAATAAAGTTTTATCTTATCTTAAAAGGTGGTGCAAAGATCTGCTGATGTTTAGGTGAACAGAGACTAACTAGGACAAGACAGGCAACTTGGCTGATTAGGAGTGGCTGATGACTGGAAAACCCTGAGAAGTTGGCTGAGGGAAGGATGAAGAATAATGAGTTTTAGGTCCTCTTTTACATGTGACCAACCTGTTTGTCCACCATGTGGAGGCAGAGCTTATAAGGCTGAGTTCACCTGAAACTCCACAGTCTGAAGAAGTCTCTTGGAGRAGAGACAAACCCGTCCAGAGGACTTACTGATTTTTTCTTTTTGACTGGACAAGGTCGCATTAAAAATGAGGAAACAGTGAAATGATGAGATGTGAGCTCAAAAGTTGTTAAAAATTCTCAACTTTAATCAATTCAAAAAGATCACAACAAAGTAACACCTTGTGAAGGGAAAGTAACAATTACATATTGGGTGCCTGTTGGGATTTTTGTACATTCCATTTTTTATTGAACTCATTAGAAAATCAGGTCAACTCTGGACACCAAACCTTTTGTTTATTTGGACAGAACTTAAACAGGTACAAATAATAATGTAAAAAATAAAATTAAATGTAAACCAAGATTATTGTCAATTTGCTCTACAAGATAGTGTCTCCAAGCACAACTGCATGGTAAACAATCTAAATTAGTACAGTTGAAAATCCTGAAAATATTTGGAGTTAAACAGGAATTATAATAAAGATGCAACCAGCAAAGAACCCATAAATACCTCTGTCACTTCGGTAGAACATCCCATTAATAAAAGCTCACAAATGAGCAACAATCCTCTTAGAGGAAAACAAAAAACCGCTCATAGGACTAAGCGACAGCACACATGCACACACGCCCACAACAAAAAGAAACTATTTAAGAAAAATAAAATGTTCCCACGGTATTTAAGATGCTATACAAGTGGGATGATATGCACATATTTAGTTCTGTCCAGCCAACAGTAGGCCAGTTTTTAGGTGAAGCTTTGATTAGAAGCAACAGATGCTGAAAAACCAAGCAGCATCTCAGAGCCTTCATTATTTTTCTTACTTTCACATTCTCCTACAAGACTGTGGGGCATCAGTGTGTCGGTGCACCTCCCTCTGTCTGACCCTTTGTCACAAACAGCTTCTCTATACAGACAGAAAAAAGATGAGGAGGTGAAGAAAACTAAACTCAATTCAGATTTTTACTGTGTCCAACTGGTTCCAACTCCTTGAGGGTCTGGATGGACCACAGACCAACAGAACATTACTGGAGAGTAACATTTCTGGAAAGTTGTTACACAAAAAAAATTCCATACAAAACACAGATTATGTAAAAATGGCCACTAAGTGACGCAGTAATCATTTACATTGGCATTATTTTGGTCAACAAACAGCCAATGGGAGAGGTTGCTTAGCTTCCCACTGAACTGAGGGCTTGTTTGTTGTTTGGACACTGAACATTTCAGTCACACATCTCTTCTGGGATCTCATGAGGGTTCAAGATGCCCGGCACAGACATCTGGATCTTATGTTTTTCCTCCTGTGCCTGACGAAGTGCTGACTCCCTCTCCTCCAGGAACAGATCCGACGTGTCCTCACCTGCAAACTCCTGCAGCACAAAGGACACAGTTTATGGTTATTAAATTAAAAATTAAATGTACATTAAAGTACAGAAGGCTCAGAAAATGTTCAAATTGTCTTCACTGGGTGTAATCTTAGCATGTTGCTGCCACATGATACAGCTGTTTCCACTAAAAGTGCCTCGTTTTAAGAGAGTTTGATAGAATTAGTCGTTTYATTCACAGGTGATCAGTTTCCAGGTGTGTTTTAGTTCTGAGTTTGATCCAAGCAGTGTTGTTCAGCTGGATCACTTTGTCACTTTTCTTCATAGTTTGACAGAACGTGTTCATGGTAGGAGGTGGACCTTCAGTCCTGAACTCTGTGGTTCCAACAGGTTCTAAACTCTGTATTTCATCTGTGAGCAGACCATCAGCTCCAGCCTGTTCCCTCTGACAGGTTCAGGACCGTTCAGGTGGACAAAACGTTCAACAGAGGCACAGAAAAGAGGGAGGAGCCCGAGTTAGGTGTTTTTTTTTTTTTTACAAAGAACTGTACTTGTGCAAATAATATTTAAGTGTTGCTTTTGAATACTTTTACATATTTTTAAAGTTTGTGTTTTTATGGGGTTGGAGCACTAGGCTGCTAAATGAATTGTAAAAAGTCTCCGTGCCTTTTAAAGCTGTTGTAATTTATATTAATAA